AATATATATTCAAATGATTCCATATTTTGACTTAGTTAAGTTAGATTTTAATCCATTCTTATATTTTAGATGTTTTCATAATATATTCTGCTATATTTCTCTCTTGAATATTTTCTCCTGAATAAATAGCAAAGAGATAAAAATGCAGCAGCTGTTCTCCTTATTTCAATAAGGAGAGTGTCTCTGCAGTTGCATACTTGTTTACTCTCTTGAGATGAACAAATTCCCAGGACTAGACTTTGTGATTTTTCTCCTTTCTATTAATGTTCTAATTTGATCTTGTGCTCCCCTCATTTTCCCAACTTTGGTGTATTTTAACCTTTTTAAATAGGGTCATTGAGGACTTCTGTTAGAGAAGCTCAGATTTGTCATTATTCAATGAGAAAAGATTTACGACCGTAGTTTCTCAAACACATTGAGTTAAAATTAATTATCATATGTTCCTTGAAGAAACTAGTCAAAGGGATGGGAAGGTTGGGCTGAAATTAGGTTCCCTCAGCCTGGTAAAGTGTTTTCATTAACAGTGTCTCTAGTCTGCGCTCTGTGTTTTTATGTCTCGCTGTTCTATCATTGATTTTCCAGATTTCTTATTATTAATGTATTACCAGGGATGTGGCAGTCATGGAGAGAGCAAATTTGCTATACCAAGACTTTAACATGATACTGACTTGTACAACCAAGAGAAGATATATGCTAATATTTATTTATATTTGTGTTTCCTTGAGTGTACAAAGAACTTTTGATTGGATGACAAAGGTCAATAAAAAATAAGCAGCAACATATTCAATATCAATAAATAGTAGAGCTATTATTAGTTGTACAGTATTTCAAAAGAGAATTTAACTTCTATTATTAGAAAGTACAGTCATAGTCCTTAAATTTTCAAAGTTCAGAATTGAAAGGCATGAATACTTAAATGCCTCCTCAAGGCAATCAAAATGGGTTTAGGGCTGTGACTTGTCTGTGACAACTTTAGTAAAAACTCTGGTGGAGGTATGAAGCCAGTGTAGAGTTCCATGACAGAAACATTACATTGAAATATTAATGTCTTATAATATATAACAGTATGAAATGACATGCTTGAATGTGGAATCTTTTATTCTGCACGCCTTCTTTTTGAATTCTGGAAAGTTATAGATATCTTACTGTCAAGAATATTACTATTACTAAAGACCTTTCTTAGCTTTATGAAAGTCTCACTGTGCACACTAGGAAGCCTGGATACTAAGGACCCTTCAGCCTCAACTCCCCACATGCTGGGATCATACTAATGTTCCCCCAAACCCAGTAACTACAAAACATTTTGTTTCCAGTGTGGTTCATATGTAACTCAGTAGTGAAAACACAACTTAAAGCTTCCAAAGACCAATATACCATTTGCAAGTTTTAAGTTACTTTTTTTTTTTTTTTTTTTTTTTTTTTTTTTTTTTTTGAGGGGGGTCCCCTCTGAACCCCCC